TAATAGCTCTAAGACAAAAGCAAAGAAAAGAAGTCTTATCGAGATGAACTCCGTTGAAGGTAGTGATGAAGTTGCAACTCCGAACAAGAGGCAAGAAGATTGATCATGTAACTTTAGGACCTGGGAAAACACCTTGACCTTGCTACGAAACATTGATCATGTTCTCTTGTTATGAGTCTTCTGATCATATCTTGGTGTTCCATTGATGCATCGCTCTTCCGAACTATCTATGTGAATATTGTTTTATACTCTATAGTGCGGTGGCTCTGGAAATTTTCCCTCTTCTTGGCTCAAACTCCCTTCTTCGAAAAGAGTCTGAGGGCGATTTTAGTTTGGAAAGACACTTTCCACTTGCTTTGTGTTCGATTCATTTGGTTTTTTCAAGTCTGAGGACCAAAGTTTCTCAAATTTTTGGAGAATTATAATAGATTTTGTATAAACAATTGTCAACGAAAAACTAATAAAAAATCAACATTAAAATTTGACAAGGATGTAAAATCTCGTTTATGTGCTGTGTGATTGCATTTGTCCTATACTTTGAGCAACAAAATAAGGATGAATCAGACTTGCCTTCTCCCAGTACACAAATTCTAAGGAAACCTCAAGATTTGAAGCAAAATATTTGTGATAAGGTTCAATGATTTACGTGGGGTACTTCGTGAAGCTAAAAACTTCAATCATAACGTTGTAAGTATTGCCCTGGTTGTTTCTTTGTATTTACATATGTATCTCCACGATACAGGGTGTAAATGGTAACTGCGGAATCTGGCGGAATTTTTGATTATTTTTTTGTTGAATTTAGCAGAATAATTGTAAATCGAAATGGTAACAACTGAATTTAGCGGAATGTAGCAGAATATTTGAAAATAAACTAATTAATTAAACTTATTAAAACATTGTTTAATAATTTAATGTATTTTGTTGAATAGTTAAAATAAATAAAAAGTACACGACCAAAAGAAAATAAATAAAAAGTAAATGTAAAATAATAATTAATGGATTTATCAAATAATTTAATGCATAATATTTTCACAAACAAAAATTTCGAACTTGTTTG